GCAGTGAGTGCGGGATCGAGTTTGACGAGGAAAAAACGGCTGTCATTGACCATCACAACTATGACATCTCAGACCTTGGCCAGGTAATTAGGCCTGTCATCTTCCGGGTTGCAGGCATGCACAGCAAAGCTCGGCTTAGCCTAGAAACCAAGAGGGAGTGAGGAGGGACTGCCTGGCTTGGGAAACCTTTTCCTGACCACCCATCTTTCCCTTTGCTCTTTGCAGCATACGCTCATCGTGGCTGACACCGAGAACCTGCTGAAGGCCCCAACCATTGTGGGGAAGTCAGCTCTAAATCCCGTCCTCTTTCGAGGTGTTGGGTGAGTGGGCAGGGAGAGGCCAGCAGAAATCTGGGGGAGGGGTCACTTTGTTTGGGAAACCAGGCCAAACTGTGGTTATCTGGGGGCATCCCTTCCCTCCGACGAGGTAGGTGGGATGAATTTATTATATTAAGAGTCAAACACCATTGTTACAGCAAGAGGAGAGCCAAGTGTCTGGCTGTTAAGAAAGAAGGATTCAGGCTGGGCATGGTGGTGCTTGCCTATAATCCCAAGAAGCCGAGATGGGAGGATTGCTTGAGGCCAGGAGTTTGAGACCAGCCTAAGCAACATAGCCAGAGTTCGTCTCATGGGGGGAAAACAGAAAGGATTTGTTCTTGGGAAGAAATGGCCCCAGGGGATCCCATGTCCTTCAGGCTCAGTTCCCGGGGTCACTGTTGGGCTGCTCTCTCGCCCTTCTATAGGATGGTGGCTGATCCTGACAATCCTTTGGTATTGGACATCCTGACGGGCTCTTCTACCTCTTACTCCTTCTTCCCGGACAAACCTATCACCCAGGTAAGGGCCTTTGCAGCCTGGCGGCCTCCAGCTCCTTGGCCCAACTGTAAAGCACTTTTTAATTTGAAAATAAGAACAGAGCAAGACAGCACACTTGGCTGAGGTGGATGAAATGACAAGTTGTAGGAATGGGGACGTGGGCAGGGCAGTGTGCTCTCAGGCTCCTCCCTAAGGTAGGGGTGAAGGTCCTTTAGGTCTGGCCTGCTGTCCTCTTGCTCTGGAGACCCGGCCGCTTTTCCTTTACTTGGTGCTGCTTGGATGACAGCTTCATTTTGTTCCCAGTATCCCCATGCGGTGGGGAAGAACACCCTCCTAATCGCTGGGCTCCAGGCCAGAAACAACGCCCGCGTCATCTTCAGTGGCTCCCTCGACTTCTTCAGCGACGCCTTCTTCAACTCAGCAGTGCAGAAGGCCACGCCCGGCTCCCAGAGGTAGCTGCCAGGAGGCTTAGGGGCATGTGGTCTGGGTGGCGCGGGCTGTGTATACGGGGAGGAAGGAGGCTTTTAGCGAAAAGTGTCAGAGGCTAAGTGTCTTCAGATGCTGTCAAATTATTCAAAGACTTTGTTGCTACATAGCTGGTGGCGCTCCCAACTTTTTAAGATAGTAATAACTTATCTAGAGACCCCTAATCTCCACCATTCTTTTTAGAAAATTGTGTATTTAGTGTGTAGGTGACACTCAGAACAACCCATGTCTTTTCTTTTTTTTCTGTGTTCCCTTTAACCGTGGGTCCTGAGGTGCACGAGGCCTGTACAGGCAGAACCTCTCGAGCGCACTCTGTCTTGGTGGCCTCGAGTGGTCTTGCCTGCCAGGCACCGCTGGAAAAAAGTTGGCTCCGTGGTGCCCTAGCTTCTCCCGTTTCCCTCCTGCAGGTATTCCCAGACAGGCAACTATGAGCTAGCTGTGGCCCTTTCCCGCTGGGTGTTCAAGGAGGAGGGTGTCCTCCGTGTGGGGCCCGTGTCCCATCATCGGGTGGGCGAGACAGCCCCACCCAATGCCTACACTGTCACTGACCTAGTGGTAAGAGCTTCTTGGGGTGGGAGGGCCCCGAGGGTTTGGCCAAGTTGAATGAGTTCAGCTTAGAAGCATTTATCGAACACTTCTGTGCTCGGCCTACAGGGCATAAATAAGGATAAGTTAACCTCTGCACCTGAGAAAGTCAGTTTGGGTGCAGGGCCTCTGTAAAATAGGAGTAAGAGCAATAGGAGACCTCCTTGTGCAGAGGGGTGTGTTTTGCTATGTGGGGGCAGTAGTGGGAGGGACTTTGTGGATGAATTCTGCCCCGGAGGTTGGATTTACAAGAGAAGCGGCGCTTCAGTTGGGTCTTAAGTATGAATTTGTCAGGCAGGAGAGCAGCGGATGTGGAAGCACGAGTGCTTGAAAGTGCCCGGCGGGTGGTTTGGGTCCAGAGTTTGATGGGCCGTGAATACTGTGCAAGGGAATCTGGGCCCATGAAGCGGTAGCGATGCTGAGCCGAAGGCATTAGCTTGGCTGAGGAGGGTGGTCGGTTACCATTTGGGGCTGAGTGGCAGGGGCTTTTGCAGGTTGTCAGAACTCCTGGGAGTTCCTGCCGTGTTCATGGGGTGGGACATGAGTACAGCTCTGCCTGCAGATTGTGGTGCCCCTCCAGTCTCTTGCACCCCTGGCTAATCTGGCCTTTTATCTCAGGAGTATAGCATCGTGATTGAGCAGCTCTCAAATGGCAAATGGGTCCCCTTTGATGGTGATGACATCCAGCTGGAGTTTGTCCGCATTGACCCTTTCGTGAGAACCTTCTTGAAGAAGAAAGGTAAGTGTAGTTCTTCCGAGAGAATGCCACAGGAAAGCAGCCTCACTTCTTCATGGGAGCAATGCTCTGGGCAGCCCCTCCTAGCTATTCGTGTTGATTCCTCCCCAGGTGGCAAATACAGTGTTCAGTTCAAGTTGCCCGACGTGTATGGCGTGTTCCAGTTTAAAGTGGATTACAACCGGCTGGGCTACACACACCTGTACTCTTCCACGCAGGTAAGCACAGGTGGCAGTCCCTGTGTTCAGCCAGCATGTGCCCTGCTCAGGCTTCCCAGTGACCAGGGCCTGCCACCTGTCCTGTCACAGGTGTCAGTGAGGCCACTGCAGCACACGCAGTATGAGCGCTTCATCCCCTCGGCCTACCCCTACTACGCCAGCGCCTTCTCCATGATGCTGGGGCTGCTGGTCTTCAGCGTCGTCTTCTTGCACATGAAGGAGAAGGAGAAGTCTGACTGAGGGCCCGAGCCCCGGACTCCTTGCAACATGGAGATGGGGGTCTCCGTAAGACTTGGTGGTTTCATTTTGTTTTTTAAAACCGTGGAAAAATGGCACAGCCTTACCTCCAGGGGAGATGCAGCACTGAGTTCCAAGGGGTGGGGGGTCAGGGAATAATTTGTATCTAAGTTTTCCCACCTTGAATTGCTAAGAGGCATTTTTCATATGTGCAGTCACGCTTATTTCTAAAATAAAGAGAAACGTTTCCCTCAAACTTCATCTGGCCCCTGTCATGCTTTGCTAGCAGTGGGGGTGCTGTTTGGTGATAACTGGATTCAGAATCATAGTGGCTTCTTTGAAATTTGCCTAAGACTGGATTGTCTTTTCTTTAACTGTGGAATGACAGCCCTTCCTAACTTCTCCTTGAGGGATAAAATAAAGTTGTCAGTACACTGAGGGGGTGGAGAATGGGAAATCTAGAGTGACGGCGCTGGACTAAGAGAATTCCAGAACTGCTTGGTGAAAAAGAACCTTCACTATACGTTCACCTTTCTTTGGGCAACATCTGTGTTCCTAAAAAGCATGTGTAAAATTACATGTGAAATCTCTTCCCCAGTGTTGATATCTGCCCACAAAATGTTCTCATGTTTAGGGTGTAAGAATCATTTTTAAAGCCAAATATTCAGTTCAAGGCACATATGTATTCTGCAGTTGTAAATTTGTATTTAATTTCACAATTCGTGTAAGAAATGCTAGTCAGGAAGGAGGGACATCAACAAGTTTAAAACACCACACTGTTGATTTCCACTTCATCATCAGTCATTGCAGCTATGCGAGGTTAATTCAGTAGCTGGAGCAGCTGTGTGGAAATGCTTCCTCAAAAACACCCGGAGCTGGTCCAGACACACAACAGGCGAGTGCAGAGGCTCCCCACCTCCCAGGCCTCGCTTACGTACTTTCCACGCTGAGTATGCTGACCCATGCGAATGTCTGCCTTAGCCCACATGGCCAATGTGGCCCGATGCCACTCTGCCTCTTTCAAATGAGCCACAGGCTGTTCCTGGTGCTAGGGGCAAAGGTCACAGCCACCCTCTGCCACTAACAGCCACTGCCTTAGCCCATACCTCTGCAGTGTGGACGCAGGCATAATTCTCCGCAGCCCAGCCTCGTCTAATGGACCACTCAGCCATTAACTTCGCAGAGGCCTGTGAGGACAGGACAGGGACTTAAGACAGGGCTTTCTGGTCAGCAGTTACACCTGAGGGCATCATCTTGCCTGGTGCAGAGAACACACTGCTTTGCTTCTGTACGCAGGAATGAGCTGACTACATTATTTTTAGCATCGAGACACAAAGGGACCCAGTGATCAGTTAGCATTTTTTTTTTTTTTTAGAGGAGTTATGCCATATGCATTCATCTAGACCAGGGGTTGGCAAACTGGCCTGCCACCTGTCTCTGTATGGCCTGCAAGCTAAACATTGTTTCTACACATTTAGATGGTAGAAAAAAATTGAAAGAATATTTAGTGACACATGAAAACAAAATTTCAGTGTCCATAAATAAAGCTCTATGGGAACACAGCCATGGTTCATTTACATATATACGGCCATTTTTGCACTACAATGACAGAATTGAGTGGTTGTGACAACTTAAAAGTATCTACTATCTGGCCCTCTAAAGAAAGCTGGCCAATTCTGATTTAGACCAATTTCTTCATTTTATAGGTAAGAGAACTTACGTCCATACAGGTTATAGAATTTGTCCCAAATCACATAGCTAGAGTTAGTAGCTACAGACTGTGAACTCTGACTCACACTGTCCTTCCATTTGCCAAATCTGAGGCCTTCTCTGGCGGACCAGCCCTCTCCACACGGTCCTGTCTCCTGACTCCCACCCTCACACCTCGGGGCCCCTCAGCATTCACAGACCATCACGACACAGGTGCTGCTAAGCTCTTTTAGTAATTCACCAGCTCTAGGCAGAGCCGTCATGGGGCTGCCCTCCACGAGCAGAGGAGGCGGGCTGCCTGGCAGAGCGCGTCACACTCCAGGTTGGCCAGAAAGAGCATCTTCATTTTGGTTTCCACACAACTCTTCTCGGTGAGCCTGCTGGCCAGCAGAGTGGCGGCTGACTGCTGCAGGAGCCAGCCAACCATCTTGTCTAACTTCAGATCCTTCAGGGCCAGAATATCTTCACCCCAGAGGCTGAGATGAAGCACATTTGCAGCAACTCGGGCAGATGGTCTCTGCAACAGGAAGGGAAGCTGAAGCCTAAAACATCTGTAACAAGGGCTCAGCCCACAAGCTGCTTCAGGGTCCAACCCAGTTCCCCTGCCCTCTCTTTCCTACGGATACTCTTCCCTCAGCTGACAAATACTGGCTGCCCTCTACCCATGCTCCAGGCTGTGCCACGTGTACAACTCTGCCTGGGGCAGTCTGCACTGTGGGCACAGCCTTCCCCACATGCCTTTTGTGCACAGCTCTGTCTGATCCCTTGTGCTGGGGTGAGGGAAGTTGTCCCCCATCAATGCATAACTGGTTGCAGTTGTTTTTCTAACAAACCTCTGAGCACCTACTGTTACCAAGATGGCAGGCCACCAAGAGGGAGGTAACCAGTGAGTACAGAGCAGTGGCTGGGATGCAGGTCTGGCTCAGCTCTTGGCACTTAGCCTGCCACCAGAGCCTGCCCTGCTGCTCCAATTATGGCTTCAAATAGATCTGCCTCAGTTTCCTTTATATTAATCTCGCAGTGGCCAGACCTGCTCTTAGGAGATGTTTTCCCATCTATCTGTTTGATTAGATCTCAGCTGTTTCCATGAGCTGTATCTCAATTAAACATTTCTCAAAAATGCAACCTTTGCTGTAACTTTTTTTTTTTTTTTTTTTGAGACAGAGTCTCACTCTGTTGCCTGGAGTAGAGTGCCATGGCATCAGCCTAGCTCACAGCAACCTCAAACTCCTGGGCTCAAGCAATCCTACTGCCTCAGCCTCCTGAGTAGCTGGGACTACAGACATGCGCTACCATGCCCGGCTAATTTTTTCTATACAGATTTTCAGTTGTCCAAATAATTTCCTTCTATTTTTAGTAGAGACGGGGTCTCGCTCTTGCTCAGGCTGGTCTCGAACTCCTGACCTTGAGCGATCCACCTGCCTCCGCCTTCCTGAGTGCTGGGATTACAGGCGTGAGCCACCGCGCCCGGCTATCCGAGTAACTTTTTAAGCAACTAAAAAAGCCAAGAGTGAACTATTAAGATTCTGACTCATGATTTGGTGGCTAGCTACCTACTCCATTTATACTAAACTCTGTTTTGTGTTCTCCTGTAATTGCCAAAGCTTTACCTTTGTAAGACAGAGGCTCTGTCTCTCTGTCACTGTTGTGCTGGCCCAAACCTGACCTTCACTCTGGAATGTGAACTGAGGTTTCCACCCGACATTACTGTGAAGCCTGGGAACATCTCACCTTGCTGGCCTCTCGCTGGAGCAGTGACCTCACCAGCTGTCTCACGTCTAGAGGAACCGACTCGGGCAGTGCAGGCAGTTGAGCCTCTTGGTAGCTGCGGCTTTCAAGGTGGGCCTTGCCCTGGCCATAGAAGGGATTGGCAAGCCCAAAGATTTCGTAGGCGATCGCTCCCACTGCCCAGGCATCAGCCTTGCTGTAGTCAATCACTGCCCTGGGGCCAGGATGGGCCGTGGACACCTGCTCGGAAAGCAATGGCTGAGATGCCCACACTGCTGGCATGTCCAACCTTTCATGCTTCTGCACGTCACCTGACTCATGGGCTAATCTGAACTCTGTCCCAAGGAACCCAAAATTTGAGTTGAGTTGTGGCTTAGACCCAGAAGAATTTGCTCAGACTGCCTAGTTTACGCTGACAAAACCCACATCTGGGAACATTAGGGAAATGCGGAGTAAAGCAAAGTGGCAGGGAAGGAACCTGTGCCAAATTACGGGTCAGAAAAGATGGAAGGTGTTGAGTAAATAATGAGGTATCAAGTCTTACTCTCTCACTTAGTGGAAACATGGAGGAAGAGCTGAAGATGGTGATGACACGCTTGGGGGACTCACCTCGGGAGCCATCAGGCAGCCGTTGCCGCCGCGATCCACGTACCAGCTGGTGAAGGGCAACTGCAGGCCGATGCTCGCGTCAGCCAGGCAGCAGCCAAAGTCCGTGATCACCAGCCAGGGGCAGCCGTCTGGGAAGGAGCAGACAGAGGTGAGCAACCAGTTCCCGTCCGGTCTCCTTCCAAGAGGCCCTCTTATGTCCCTGCTAAAGCACCAGCAAGACATGGGTGAGCAGGGCTAACGGGGACTCACTATTGGCCCAGAGCACAGGCCAGCAAGGCCTGACAGCTGAACAGAAGGGCCGGCCACACGAATATGGAAATGTCTCCTGGATATAAAAGCCCGCAAAGTCCCTAGGCAAAGGACTAGGTAAACGTTTGGCTCAGTCTAAATAATTTTTTAGTAGTTGGAGTTGTCCCCAAGACCCAAGGAGCTTAGTGCTTGGCTCAAATGATCTCTAGGGGTCCTTACACCCCAAGAATCTTTGAACTGAATGAAAACCCCAAATCCAAACAGGTGCATTAGGTCTTAGTTATTTGTAAAACGATTCCCAGAATTCCTTTAAAAAGGCAGTTCCTCTAGTCATTTAATTGCACAATTATTTTAAATCTTCTAGTTTAAAATTTATCAGATGTCTGAATCTCCTTTCAACATCCCCAGGTAAATGGCAAATGGCCATTCAAATTCTACGCAAATGCTTCCAGTAATGGGGAACTCATTATTGCCAGAGGCATCTGGGCTTACACTTGGGCAGCTTTCACTGTTTGCAAATTTTTTTTTTTTTGAGACACAGTCTTACTGTTGTTGCCTGGGCTAGAGTGCCGTGGCGTCATCTTAGCTCACAGCAACCTCAAACTCCTGGGCTCAAGCAATCCTCCTGCCTCAGCCTCCCGAGTAGCTGGGACTACAGGCATGCGCCACCATGCCCGGCTAGTTTTTTCTATATATTTTTAGTAGTCCAATTAATTTCTTTCTATTTTTAGTAGAGACGGGGTCTCGCTCTTGCTCAGGCTGGTTTCGAACTCCTGAGCTCAAACAATCCGCCCACCTCGGCCTCCCAGAGAGCTAGGGCAAATTATTTTTTATATGAGCTAAAGTCAACCTCTCTTTTACTTTATTCATGAAAACTTGTGGCACTGAGGTTCTTGTTCTGTAAGTGGGCGACAGAAAAGAACTTGGTAACTGTCTCTCCACAGAGAGAACTCAAGCCTCCGTTCTGAAGGAAAGGTTGCTCATCTCTGTGTACAGAGTAAATGAAGACACAACGACTCAGAACATGAAAACCAAAGGGGACATGAAGGGTCCTAAACACTCCTGACCTACCTGCTAGTGCCCCTGGAGCGCTCTGAGGGCACGGCAGGCACCTACCTGCGTCCAGCTCCACGAGAATGTTGTCGGATTTTAAGTCTCTGTGTGCGATGCCCTGTTGAACCAGATGATCCACACCCTCCAGTAACTGCAGGGTCATCACGGTGGCGAGGCGTGGGCTGGGGGTGTTCGCGCGAAGGTACTGGCGCAGGGTACAGGGATAGCTGGCGGAGAGGGGACAGGGCCTCTGGCTGTCACGCGCCAACCACCCCAGCACCTTGTTCACTGTCAGCATTAGGCCTTTCCTCTTCCCCCTCCTGGAGCTTTTGGATTTATCCTTTTCTGATTTGTTTTTTGATGTATCCTTTCTGTTCCCACCCACCCACCATCCTGACATTAGGAAGTAACAACTGGGGCTCCTCATGTTCAAAGTAACAGGACAAATCTTATTTCCCTAAAACACCCATTATGGCAAAGTTAGGCGGTACAGAGAGCGAGGAAAGAGAACTGTTTCCATGTTAAATACAGGTAAGGCAAGCCGCAGAGAAAGGGCAATAGTCAAGTGGACCAAAAGCACTAGGTGAAAAGTATATTCTAGATCAAGGTGAGATTTTGTTTTCATGAAAAATCATCTCAATGGGGAAGTGCCCTCCAGGACAGATGTGCTCCTCTGCATGGCCTTATTCTCCCGAAGGGTGAGGACCCTCTTCCCTGAAACCCCGTGCTCAAGGTGCACGTGGAGGGCAGGCACCAGCTCCCCCTGGGAAGATGGAGCAGCTCCAGGTTCTGCCATGTCCCTGCCACTTACTACTTTTTTTTTTTTAAGGCAAGCACGGAAATGAGGTTTATTAAGGAGAGAAAATGGGATTACAGCCACTTACTTCTTCATGACGAGGAACAGTGTCCGGCCGTGGCCCAGGCCTTCTGGGTGGAGACGTGGGGGCAGCACATCAGGGTAGTCGACCAGGGCCCCTGGCAGCAGTGGCACAGACGAGGTGAAGGCGCGGAGAACCCGGATGATGTTGGGGTGAGGGGCCAGTTGCTTGGGACCGCCCTTGGATTTTCTATTCAGCCAAGCGGGACAAACATGAGGCCAGTATCAGATACAAGAGGTGGAAAGATAATAATCTAAGGCCACAACAAACACCGACATTTATTCGCTCACTTATTTATCAGATATTTATCATGTGCTATGTGCCAGGTACTATGAATGGTGTCGGGGAACATGTTTGATGACTCCCCTATCCATCCTTTATCCATCTATCGGCCCATCCATCCATCTCATGTGGCAGAACACAGGGTTGAGAAACCCTAGGATCAGACTGCCTGGGTGTGAGTTCAAGGTCTGCTACTACAAGTCCTTGGCCAAGTTATAGTAGTGCCCCCTTATCCACAGCTTTGCTTTCCATGGTTTCAGCTACCTGTGGCCTAAAAACAGGCGTATTCACCTATTTTTTTAATATGTTTTTTTTTTTTTTTTTGAGATGAGGTCTATGTTGCCCAGGCAGGTTGTGAACTCCCGATCAGCCGGGACTACAGGCGATTAGCCGGGACTACAGGCGATTAGCCGGGACTACAGGCGATCAGCCGGGACTACAGGCGTGCGCCACTGTGCCTGGCTTAATGAGATATTTTGAGAGAGTCAGAGAGAGAGAGAGAACTCTTATTACAGTATATTGTTATAATTGTCCTATTTTATTATTAGTTATTGCTGTTAATCCTTTACTGTGCCTAATTTATAAATTAAACTTTATCATAGGTAGGTATGTATAGGAAAAAACACGGCATATATAGGGTTCAGTACTATCTGTGGTTTCAGGCATCCACTGGGGACCCTGGAATGTATCCCCCTTGGGACTAAGGGGAGACTACTGTGCTTATCTCCTCTGGGCTCAGTCTCGAGTGCAAAAGGGGAATGAGGTAGTAACATGCTGCATAAGGTTGATAATGTATAAAGTCCCTAGAATCATGTTTAACAGAGTAAGCACTCAGCAAATATTAGCTGGTGCTATTATTCATTCAACCAGTGTTTACTGCTTCCCACTAAGTACCAGACATTGTGCTGCTATGCTGTGGAGCTATGGCGGAGAACGAGACAGAGTCCCTACGCTCATGGGTTTGCAATCTAACAGGCAGGAGTGACATTCATTGAGTAAGTAATTACCTTAACTCCCTAAGAACAAGGACCATGCCTGAATTTCCTCCCCATGATTCCAGGTTCTAGTGTAATATTTGGCGTGGAGTATGAGCTTAATGAACCTGTGCTGAGTGAATGAATGGATCCAGATGTAGTTAGTAGCAGTGGTGTCACCTGCCTGCCCTGCTTACTCCTCCTCCTCTGGAAGCCCCCGCCCCAGCCCTGCCGAGGCACAGTGGCTGCACTGTGGACAGTGTGGCTCTGCCTGCTGTGCCCAGCCCCGCTCCTCCGCCAGAGCTGACTGGACCAAGCGTGCCACTCCCCAAGGGCAGCGAGCCTATGGTCACATCCATCTGGATGGCTGGTGCCAACAGGGAAGGGAGGGAGGCAGGTTCTCCCTCTGGGAGTGCGAGTGGACAGACCTGCCGGCCAGCAGTGGAGCTGAAGGGGAGGACGCTGCAAGGCTTCCCTGGGCACGGGGAGCCCAGCAGGGGAGCGAGCCACAGGTCTGCAGGAACAGAGACGGGAAGGAAGAAGGATGCTGACGGTGCGGCGAAGGGAATGCAGCAGAGCCAGACAACGCTGAGAGCGCGGGACACCTGCCCTGTCCCCAGAGCTGCTGTGTCCCCGTCCACGTGTGCCCTCGCACTGCTCCCTCTCGAGTCAACCTGAGCGGCCCCTGTTCTGTGCAATCAAAGGAGTCACAGCACTGTTCCCACGCCCAGGCCACGGGGCCAATCAGGATCGCAGTGCAAGGCCATCAGGGTCCCAAAAGGTGTTGGTTGAGGTTGCAATGGTTGCAATGGTTGAGGTTGTAACGGCTGCCTCATGGCTCCTGAGGTGAGGCCCCCAAGCATGTCATCACCATCTGCAGCTCTTCCTCCCCGTTTCCACTAAGTGAGACAACAAGCAAGCCCAGAGACAGCGTCTGTGGCTGTGCTGAGGAGAAACATGAGGTGGGGGGTGTTTAGACTGAGACCCGAAACGTGCGGGGAGGGCAGCCCAAGTATAGCAACTGCACGCTCGGGAGATGGTCACAGGGGAGCCAGGTGCGTTTGGGGAAGGCGGGGTGGAAGGGAATGTGGTGGGGCGTAGGTGCCGACGGCAAAGGATGAGAAATGAGGTAGGAGGAGGAGCGAAAGGAGCAGGTCACAGAGGGCCCTAGACGGCACCCGCAGTGCTCCCAGGGAAGTTTCTGCTGAGAAACGTCAGTATGTTGGGTAATGTACCTTCTGCCGTATCCATCCAGTCCTTCCACAGACATTTAGCATGCTGTGGGGTGCGCAGTAAACAAAACGGCACGTACAGAACAGCGGAGACAGGGCACGGACGAAGGTGTGTGTGGTGTAAGACCAGACAGCGAGAAACGCTATGGAAACAACTAACGCAGGGTAAAGCACTAGCAAGTGACAGGGATTATGTCAGATGGGAGGTCTGGCCAGGTGACATCATAGTGCTCCCAGCTATAAGACAGCACCTGCCAGCAGACTGACACACCACAAAGGAGCCACCTGAGGGTGATGTCAGCCCCAAAGCCGCTGACATTCAGGTGTCCACTCTTCTCTACGGAGGGCTAAGGAGAGTAAGAGGATGGCATGAAGCCCACCTGAGCAGCTGCTGCTCAGTCACACTGGAGCCTGCCACACCGTGGAAGGCGTTTTCCACATCTATTCCTTTAAGTTCCTACTTGTGCCTTCCTGCTTCTAACAGAACCAAGATCTACAAACCAGTCCTCTAGTAAATCACCAAAAATGCAGCAGTCTCGCGTCTTCCTGGTGGGGCACAAATATAAAGCACAAGCGTCTCCTCTGCCATAAGCCAGAGCATCCATCTTCACCCCCTTAGTGAAGACAGGGGCTTCACTAAGCTGCAGCATCACTGCTGTCCACCTGTGCTTCCCTCTGCTGGGAACACCTCTGCGCCTGGGTAATGCCTATTTGCCCTTCAAAAAGCAGCACAGGTCACCCCTTTGAGAAGCCTGAGTGGCTCCAACCCTGCAGTGCACAGGCCTCCCGGGCCCCCTAGCACCTGAGCACACTCTCCTCTATCCCCAGCACTTACCACACTCGGGCCCTGCGCCTGGCTTGTCGGGCTCTGCGCCACACAGAGAACTCTTGGGGAGCAGACCACTTTTTTTTTAATCCCTTGGCTGTAACTACTAATGGAATGAGTCTTCCCTCCTGTGGGGACCAGAATTCAGCTTGTACCGGCAGGTGGCGCTCCACCCCTGTAATGCTTAGAAGGAATCAGAGAACTCAGATCTATCTATTTTCTAGCATTCGGAATTGGGCATTCTTGGGTGGCCTCCTCTCCCCTGCTCCAAAGTGAACTACCCTCACGCATCATGATTTGGGGTCACATGATCTGCAATCTTTCCCAAGCTAAATCATCCACTAACTGAAAATCCATCATTCATAACATTGTTCGGTAAGCATTTATTATCTACTGTGTCCTGTCACACTATGCTGAGTGCTGGGGACACAAATCATTATGCTCTCGAAGAACTCACACTCAGTCTGGTGGGCACAGGGCACTTACCTGTAAGCGACTGCTCCATACTCCCCGGCCAAGGCCACTCGGCTAGCTGGGACTAGCTCCTGGCTCATCGTGCTAAAGATGGCTTCGCTGGAAGAGCCCGCCTGGAACACATCCACAAGGGTTACACAGACCTGAGGGGAGGGGCGCGTTCCCAGCCCTGCCTGCAGTCTGGACCAGGACAGCTACTGCCTAGAATTGGCTCTGACCTTTGAGATAAGATGACCTTTCTTGAGTGGCAAGCCAAGATTAGTTACTCCTGGGAGACAGAGAGGTAGAGGTGCCATCTGTGCCAACTCAGAGGACGTTCCCCACACCTGAAACTCTTGGCAGCCTAGTGCCCAGGGCAGGAGGAACATCAAGGTGATCAGGGCATGGGACGCTTCTTCCTGCCATCGATGCCTCTGGTCCCCACCAGCTTGAAACTGACCACTGGGTCACTAAGACTCCCCTCAGCAGACAGACTAGAGCCTGACTAACTCCACCCTGGATGAAGCTGCACTGAATCACAGAACAGCCTTCCTCCATCCCCCCAAATAAATAAACAAAAACCAAAGAGGGGGAAAAGCACCTTATTTTCCTCATTTTAATATAATGGTTCTAAGGACCTATGAAACCTGTTAAGTATCAAGAAGATCCTATAAGGATCAAGAGTCTTTTAGCTTTTGTGAATGTAATAGCTGTCATGTCTCAACTAGGCCAAGTTTTTTTAGAGACAGGGTCTTGCTCTATCCACCCAGGCTGGAGTGTAGTGGCATGATCATAGCTCATTGTAACCTCAAACTCCTGGCCTCAAGGGATCCTCTTGCCTCAGCTTCCCAAGTAGGTAGGACTACAGGCATGTGCCACCACACCCAGCTAATTTTTTCATTCTTTGTAGAGACAGGATCTTGCTATGTTGCCCAGGCTGGTCTTGAACTTCTGGCCTCAAGTGATCCTTCCGCCTTGGCCTACAAAAGTGCTGGGATTACAGGCACGAGCCACTGGACTTGGCCTCCAGTTAAGTTTTGATGCTAAGACTGGATGTTTTACAGGCAAAGGATTTGGCTACTTGTTAGTTATTAACCCGGCTTGGAGTACAAGCGTCTAATAACCTTCATTCCCCAAATCAAAACAAGAAACTGCATTTTCTCGTGTCCAGTATAAACTGCTGGGCTGTGTTTCACTTCAGCTTTGGGTGGATGCTCTGGGCAGGAGACAGAACATCAGGTATCGATGAATTTTCTGAACCCATCTAGCAATGGCAAGGTAAAGAAATTACTCTGAATAGACAGAAATCTTTGTTTTTGTGGGAGAAAAATACTCTTCAGTTTCCCAAAGCCTTGAGTTCTTCCAAGAGGTGAGAACAGGGAGGTAACAAGCAAGCCTTTGATCTCGGGGTGGGCACGAAGGGTGACTGCAGAGGAAAGGGCTCCTCCTCTCCAGCAAGCCAGGCTGCAGCGAGGAGCGGATGCTGTAAGGGCAGACCTGAAATGAACTAACCGCTCTCGGGTAGAAGCCAAGGGCCTAGGCACTCGCTACTCAAAGCATGGCTCACAAACCAGCAGCATCGGCATCGCCTGGGAGCCTGCTGGAAAGGCAGAACCTCAGGCCCCAGCCCTGGCCTGCTGGACCAGAGTCTGCCTTTGAACCCGATCCTCAGGTGATCTGTGATTGAGTTTGAGACATTCTGCTTTAGACTTTTGTGTAAGAGGGGGAGGAAGCCTAACTACATAGGCACCTTTCCTGTGGAGGATGTGTCTTTTCCTAGCTACTTCCTGGAAAAAGTCTCTGCCAGGCCTACTAAGATAGGCATTTTGAGAAACGCCCACTTTAAGGCTGGAAGGCCCCGTCCTTACCGAGATGTTCCACATCATCTTGATGGCTAAGGGGAAAGCAGGGGCCCCTGCCACTCGCGCCTCCTCTTCTCCTCGCGGGATGACATCTGGGCCTCTCGCTGGCAGCAGCTCGATGCTCTTTGCCACGTCCAGGTGCCGGGGCAACGCAGGCATGGCGGCTTCGTACACAGCGGCACTGCAGCCCTTGCCGATGGACTGCCCTATCAGATACTCCTCCAGCCGGAAGCCCTGCCAGCGTCTAGTGTCCAGTGGGTCAGGCATCAGCTTATTTTTCTGGGTAAAAATTGCCTGTGAGGAAGAAGAACGCACTGTGAGCCAGGGAGCCCACGAAGGCCCAAGTAAAGGGAAACGGAGGAGGAGGTGAGAGGCCTGGTCCTCACCGGCCAGATCAAGGACCAATAAAATACAAGCCAACTGGGTTTCGCTGCTCATCCGGAGGGCAGGCCATCCTGCCTCTCTCTCATTGTTCAGAATAATTTTTCTCAAACTGTTGCTTCACTGTGATCGCAGCACTGAGTCAGCTGAGAGGTCCTGCAGCTGGTACACCTCCCCTTTGCTGCCTTCACTCTCCAGCCCAGTCTTGGAGGTGTCTGGTAATGGAGACAGCTCTCTCTGCAAAGACCTAGGCTGACAGCTCCCAGGAGTGTGGGACCAACAATGACCTCAGGAGCTTTTACAGGCAAGGGGGCGAGATCAAGAATATCCCCAGAGCCGAGTCTGTAAGTCCTGTCTTCCCGCCTCTGCCTCTCAGGACTCTGATGGGCCTACTCTGTTGAGGAAGGAAACAAGAGCACGTGAGTTCTGACAGACACAGACGGAGGGGCAGGTCCTGTGCACGCACCATGCTGCACTGGGAAAGAGGCCATGTGCCAAAAATCTGGGCAGCCCCTCACCCTGCTTCAGGCAGTGGTGACATCACATCTCCAGTCACCCAGGCTCAGTCTTCCCCCTCCAGTGGTCTGATCTGTCGATCCCCCTTCCCAACTCCACGGCTTCCCAACTCACCCAGGGGCACCAGGCACAGCACTGTGCACTCCCCTCGGCAGCAGCCTACGGGCACCGTCTCTAGACTCCCCCACTCTCATGCCATCCCTTCGCTGCTTCTGAGCCACACTAGCCCACGCTGCTTTCATGTGTCACTCTGCTGTGCACAGCACCGCCCAGGTTATTCGATGCCTTGTCCTCGTGCTTTGCCAGGCTGCTCTGC